ATTAAATTAATATTAATAAAATAATAATAATAATAATTAATATTATTATTATTATTATAAAATATTATTAAATATATAATCATAATTTTACAATACTAAAAATTAGAATAAAATTATTTATAAATTCTTAGTATATTTAACATTCAGTAGTATTGAACTTATTTTAATTTATACCATTCACAAACAAAAATATATTAATATATACATAAAAGTCTAACCTAAATATATTATAATATTTAAATTTTAATTTTAATAAAATATAACAATGACTATTGCTAATAACAAAATTATATTTTAAAGTTAAAAGTGTTAAATTAATATATTTAAAATTATAAAAATTTAATATATAAAAAATTTAAATTACATAAATGATTTATTCCTATTTATAATTTTTATTAAATACTTATTTTTATTTTTATTAAAATCTGAATTTTAAAAAAAATGTAGCAGTTAAAACTTGATTTGTTACATCATTCTGACAAGTTTTAACCGATTTTGACCTTGTTGCAGTAGTTCCTTCACGTTCTAAGATGCTCCCTGCATAATTTACTCTCTCATGCCTTCCCACTCATCAAAAAGCTTTTAAAAAATTGTAAATGTTGAGTTTTTTTTTTAAAACGATTTTGTACTGCATCTCTTAGAATCATTGACCGGCTGTAAAATTTTACAACTTACAAATATACGGGATGATATTACAACGCTGTCGCAGTCGCACCATCTTTATTTCTTCATGAATAGTATTAGAAAAAGTACCTCCATCTGAGAAAGCTGAATAAACACAGCAAACCGGACTAACAGGTCCATAACGTAACACATAACCATTCACTTTATAAGACATATTTCAATGAAAGCAACTTAATTAAGCATGGACATGGGCAAGACCATGCCGTGTGGTACTCGAGTTTTCAGTTATCCATGCTCCAGACATCTTTTCCAACACTAACAGAAGCCAATACATATACTATGTCATGTGCTGTTTCAACTTGTCTTATTACAATCCTACGGATTCTACCTATGTTAATTAAACAGGGTTATTACTAAAAGCCAGTTATTTTTGTCAACAAGTGATTTTGAAGATACAGAAGTATCTCTTCGGTGGAGAGAGACAGACATTACTCGAGAAGAACAAACACTCAAAAGAAAAAACAAGGTTTTATTTCAATTTTGGTTGTTATTAATTTAATATTTTAATTCTTTATATTTATTTCTTTTAATACATTATGCATTTATTATACTAATAATTTAGTCCGTATACACAGACAATTTTTATTATATATAACTAAATTTTATAATAAATTATATATACATATAAATATTATATTTAAAATTTATATAAATAAATATTTGTAAACATAAAACATATTATTTTATATTTATGATAAATATTTTATATTGTGACACTATTATTTTTAAATATGAATAACTTATTTTAAAAACATACAGATTTATTTTATAAATAAATATAATATATAAAAATTGAATAAGAAATTAAAAATATTCTTACAAATCTTTTCATAAAAAAAAACTCTTAAAAACACTCTTCCAAAAAATAGTCGTCGTTTTTGTATGAGAATAGATTAATAATGTGTTGTGATACGTTTCATTTATTGTCAATATATATTCTATAAAATGAATCGATATTTCATTGTATTTAAACTCCATCTATAGGCGTGAGGGCACAAAGAAATATATAATTAAAATTACAAGCTTGAAATACTTGCATGAAAAAATAAAATCTATAGGCTCATGTCAGCTAAAAACTCAAAAAATAGGCAAAATATTTACATATAAATATATAATTAAAATTTATCCACTTTTCAACCACCATAAGTCATGGATGGCAGTAAGGAGTAAAGGCTTCAAATTTTATTTACGAACAAGCAATAATATACGCTATAGATCACTTATATTAAAACAATAAAAAAAATGTAGTTGTCATCCATTGGAGAGGGAGCGTAGATTATTCTAATTAATATTATATTCAATGGCATGAATTAAATGGTCCACGTTGGTCCAGTTTAGAAACCGACCAAGTTATACGCAGCCCATTACATAAGCCCTACATATTTAATGTCCATTAAGAGACAGATGAACATAAGATTTGCAGAGTTAAAGATGGGAAATTTTTAGATAATCCAAACACTGCAACTGCAAGTGCTTGATGCACCAGCTCAAAATTGTTGGCCTTTCTTTCATCTAATCTCAAAATTGTTCTCGTGCATAACAACCTAAGTCTATACCACTAGTATTGTATACAGTTACAAGATTAGAGTGCCCATGTTGACTTCGTTTAGTTTGAGAATCATAATTGAAAATAATTTACTTGCTCAACTCAAAGTTCAACCGACTCTTTATCATGATTCAATAAAGGACAGGGGTTATCGTTACATTTCTTTCCTTGATTGTTACCCTTTTTACCGGAGCATTTGCGGCAAAGCTTCCCATGCGTATACAGAAGGCAATTCAAGTCAAACTTCAGTTCATTTGGTATCCTTTGGTTTAGATGAAGATACGACTTGTTTCTGTCTGCAATAGCTGGTACCCAACCAATGGTTTTTGCAATCTCAAATATCTGCATAAATATGTAAGTGTTATAAATAACTGAATGGAGTCAAATGCAGTAAAAGATGAAATCATGCTTACGTGAGTGTCCACAGGAAAATCATCTTGCTGAAGATTGAACATCAACACACAAGCCACCTATAATCAAACCCGAAATTTAGAGAAACCAATACAAAGGGGGAAAGGACATACAAATTTATGTTCAATTGAGTTTAAGTATTAGTGTTACACATTGACATGATGTTTACTAACGATGCAATAAAATACAATCATCATTGATGTATGATCAACACAAAAAATATCCAACGAATCACATGATCCACTTAATTCCCTGCAAGGAGAAAGCAGCCTACAAACTTGCAATTAAAGGGTGAATGTCTGGTAACATGATATCCCAATAACAGAATGGAAAACAGGGAAAGTCTTTCCTTAATCCAATTTGAAAATTATACTCTTTCTCATGACAAAAGACTAAAAAAAAGTCCTAATATGGGGGCTGGGGGGAAATTTTCATATTTCAACATAATACGCAACATGGTGAAAAGCTTATTATTTTAACGATTAATCCCTTGGCCAAGTCAGGTACTGAAATAGGGAATTCACTATGTTTTACGAGAGTTGGAGCCTATAAGCCATAGCCCTGACTGATAGTAGCAATCACATTGCGTCCAAATTAAGCTTGTCGTCCCCTCAATAAGCCTAACTGCCATAAGCATCTCAAAGCACTTGAATTCATGGGCGTTACGAGGCATTTACGACCAATTGGCCTTTCTAGTTCTGTAAACTAAACCTCCCTGTCTGTATTAATATATTGTCCATGTCTCCATCTCTGCACTTGATTTCATATCCTACATATTGCCATTGTTAAAACAAGGTCACACTCTCGCATGCACACCTCCAAAAGAATCTTATTGTGACATACTTGAACAGTTGAGCTTCACTAGGTAGAGACTCTTAACAAAGTTAAAAAAAATAAAAAATAGAAATAGAAAACCATCATCATTGATAAATGGAAACCACTACAATGAATGTTTATAATTCTCTCACAGTTGCCACTTCTTTTGTAGACAAATTCTTGGATAATAGTTGCCTCAAAATGGGAAACAAAGTACTAAGATAATCATTAAAATTGAAAAGAGATAAAGTACAGAAAATTGAAGGGGAGGGAAACAACATTATGTGTCAGAATTCACATGTCTATCAAACTTAATCATATGTGCGATGTATCTCATTTTTCACAAGGATTTAAAGGAATTAGCTAAACAACCACATTGGAAGATTGTTGTTAATAAGAAATTATAATTCCTAAGCGCTAACAAAATGACAACAACATAGGATACAGATGTCCAATTATTACTAGCAAAGGGTACAAAGAGTAAGCAACACAGCACAAAGAACAGAACAAGTTCATTTCATTTTCATGAATTGTTCCAATGAAAAATAAGAGAGAGGAGCAAAAGAAGATTACCGTTTTGGGACCAATTCCTTTGAAAAGAGAGAGCTCAGCCTTAACTTGATCAACGGACAAGTCACGCAGATACTCCAAACACAACTCGCCTCTTCTCTCGCGCAAACAACGCAACAAGTTCTTAATACAAGAAGCCTTAGTCGGGGCTAAACCCCCACATCGAATAGCATCCTCCACGTCCTTGGAGTCAGCACCGAGAACCTTCAACACACAAAGCAAACGGCACCGTTTAAGAGCCCAATGTTAGATAAAAGAAATAGAAACATAGTTGTGTTGTAACGTACATGTCCCCAAGTGGGGAAGGAGGATTTGAGGGTGGCGAAAGCCTTTTGGGAATTGGCTTCGGTGGTGTTCTGAGAGAGGACGGTTCGGACCAAACCGTCGAGAACGGGCTCGGGCGGGTCGGGTTGGGCCGTGTCGCTGGTTGGTTGGAGTTTGCGGTACTTGGCGAGGTCCGGGGGAATGCCGTGAAGGGCTAAGAGAGTGTCGCGTAGGGTTTCGCATTCTTGTGGGGTGGGTCGAGTGTGAGATGGGAATGGATCCTTCACATTGTCGCTTCGGGTTGGGCCCACACGAACCGCCTTCGCCTTTGCCTTCGTCTCACGCGCCACATGCTGCTTCCTCTTCCGCTTCTTTTCCATTTTCACCTCTTCTTCCCCCCTTTCCCCCCCCGGATAACCCTTTTTTCTGCCCTTAATATTTTTATTTTTATTATAATTATAATAACTTTAATTTTAAAAGGGGGAAAATTTCCTTTCTCCAATTTCTTTCTTTCATTCTTTAATCAAATTCAAGTATCAAAAAAAAAAAAAAATCTTCAATCATACCCAACAGCTAAAAAAAAATCTTTATGTGGACTAATAAATAAATAGAACATAGATTAATTATATTTTAAAATTTTCCTTGTCCTTGCACACATTCATATATGGTTGCGTTGAGCATATAGAAGAACACCGGGTGTCCCCCTCCTGAGAGGTTCGAGACTGCAAGATCTGAATCCGCAGAAATGGTGGGTGGACCATGGAATGCAAGGTACGACACTACAGCTACCAAAACCAGTACCAGCTACACACACACACACCACATGCCAATTGAAGAAAGGTTAGAGAATATAATCTAATAGAATAGACTAGGGCCATCCTATATGCTACTGCTACCTTTTTCTTCCCACTCTCACCTGTGAGGATATAACATGCATATACATTCACTGCTTTCTAACATATATAATAACTAAAACTAATTCAAATGAGAAAGTCATCAAGATGCCTTCATCACATAACATAAGTCTAATTTATGAGATACTTCACTTGTTGAATATATAGAAGATTCATCAGTCACAACACTATATTAAACTATTTTTAGGTTGAGGATCTGAATGCCAAAGAAGTCGTTCGTAGAATGATGAAGTGGGTCAAAACGGTGGATTTGCAACGAAAAAACCAATCGGATGAGCTGTTATTGCTATCGTGCGCCACATGGAGGACGGAAGGGGAGCCACGTCAAGTGTGAATTTTAATTTTACCAATTTGGGGTTCTATTTTTGGGATTTTTTTGCTCCACCAAATTGGGGTTCTACTTTTGGGGACTCATTAACCTTATCCTAGTTCACTAACTTCAAGAGACTACAGTGTCTTTATTTTTTGTGTTCATGTATCCGTAGTTGCAGTGATGGTAGTTAATTTGATGGTGCACTTAATTATCAATTAAAATGTTGTGGGTTATATTAGATCTTTCTATAAATATTTTTGTTTTTGTTTTTCATGTTTTATGTAAAAGATTGTGGATCAACAAAACATAAGAAAGCGGCAGGAATACAAGAAAATAAAAGAGGTGTTAACCTGGGAAGTGAAGGAGGAGAGGTTGTAAACAAAATCGATGTAGATTTGAACGTAAATCTACATCGTTTCTACCTTAAACCGATGTAAATTGCATTTAAAAAAAAAATCAATTATTTTTTTAGATTCTTTCTGAGTTGTTGATCCAAAGTATGCTAAGCTTAGTATGATGAGAATCCAAACACTTAATCGCTGATATGTCCTATTACCTCTAAGATTGAAGATAATAGTTAGAGTCTGCTATAAGTAACTGAGCATTTTATATAAAAGATTTACAATTGGCTAACCACAACAACTAAAAAACATACTACTTATCTCTTTTAGTCAATCTCTTATCCTCTACAAGTATCCCTAAACAACATACAAGTGTGTAAAACACATAAATATGTAAAAGACAAAAATGAAGAATGGGAACTAACATTTCACCAAAATAATTAAATTAAAGGTAACAATTATAATTTATCATATTTGCTTAAAATAAAAATTGTTGTAAAAAAGTTATTTACTCTAGGCTATTGTTTGAACAAGTTTGGCAAGAAAAATCTGCTCAATGTTGAACTTTTATGAGATGATTGGTGTGAATATGAGCTGCAGACCTCCTCCGTGACTTTTATGAGAAACAATTTCAGAAATTTGCATCAATAATTATTAAAAACAACCAAACAACATTATAAGTAATAAGCATAAATTTGTAATACACCACCTTTCTACTATGAGAACAACTTTCCATCAAATCCTATTTCAATGCACCAATAACAATATTTAGTCAATCTAAGGCTTTAGCAATATAACACATTCAAAAGAAAAATTCAAAAAATAAAAATAAAAGAGGAAGCACTATACCCAATATTAACTTGAATTATCACTACTACAGGAACGCAAATCTACATCGGTTCTGGAAGGTGATCTACATCGATTTTATAACCGATGTAGAATAGAGCGACGTAGTAATAAAAAAATTTCTACATCGATTTTTAAAATCGATGTAGATTTTAATCTACATCGGTTGTGAGGAAAATCGATGTAGATTTAAACGAAAATCTACATCAGTTTTAAATAGAACCGATGTAGATTTGCGTTCAAATCTATATCGGTTTTCCTCACAACCGATGTAGATGTGGACTAAAATCTACATCGGTTCTAATTAAAACCGATGTAGACTTTATTAAAAAAAAAATTTGTTATTTTTTTACATTCTTTGTGGGTTACCTTTATAAACATATTTTATTTATAACACCAAATCAAAACCCAGAAATGCAATCAATTGGATAGGACAATTCTATTGCTGCAGCCATTGTGTATTGAATTTTGATGTTTATGTTCAAATCTTATATTAAATTTTGATGTTTATGTTCAAATCCTAGCCAGTAGCCACTAATGCAATGAATTCTATCCCTTAAACAGTTTTGGAACCTTCCTCCAGAAACAGAAATCTCGTATACTAACCAACATAACCAAATTCCATGAATCAAAAACCGGAAGAAATAGAAAAACAAATCAATACACACATGTAGATTATACCCACTTAAATAACTTATATTTGTTATGAAGGATGATTCAGATAGTTTCTCTCAAGGTTTGCCTATAACTTTGCATTAGCATGCTATTGTGACGATAATTATCATTCACGGTTTGAAGGATTAAAAACCGAGAGGTTTACTTTTTCCATCAACAAAAAATATCTGTCTTTTATTGATAATTTATTTTTAAAATATAAAAATTTAATACATAAATAATTATAATAAATAAAAATTAAATTGGTTTGAAGACTCGTCAATGATCTTGATTCTCTTGTAAGTAGGTTATTGAAAGTTAAGTACTTTCCTAACATGAATTCTTAAAAAACTCTTTTGTTAATTTTTTTTCTTCTAAAAACTATTTTATATAAGATAGAGATTTGTGTTTAATATATAAAAAGTTTATTTATTATTCATTATTTTAACTCCACTTTCTCTTTAACTAATATATAAGGATTTGGGTATAAATGATTTATGTATTAGATCCTAGGTCGAATTGTTTAGGTAGTACCTAAGTTTTATCATTGCAAAAAATAATTTTTGGTCAGGTTTTACTTGCCTCTTGATGAAACTAGATTAGTATACAAATGGGTCGATAATTGAAGAAACCAATAACAAAAAATCAAATCTTTATCCAATTGGGTGTCTTGAAAGAGAAAAAAAAACGAAGAAAAACAAAGAAGACCCATGTAAAAAGTTAGAAATTTGATGAATTCTGAAATAAGACTTACTGTGAAGAGGTTGGAGATGAGGCGAATGAGTGACGAAGAAATTAATTTATTACAGATTTTAGACATATATTTTAAAGTTTTTATTTTATTAAATTAATTAAAAATTAATTATATTTTGTCACTTTTTAATCAAGTGAGTGAATGATAATGAATTAACTAAAATTTTAAAATATATTTTAATTAAAAATAATTTTTTGGTAAATACGGTAACTAAAAAGTATTATAATAAATAATTAAATTAAAAAAGAATAAATTTTATAATGATTATTTTTTTAATGATGTTAAATTAAATATTCTAATTATTTTATAATAAATTAAAATGAAAATATAATAAAATATGTTAACTGATATTTTAAATAAAATATATTAAAATATTATAATCAAAAGAAATTTAATATTAAATCAAAATATTATATAAATCATAACTAAAATTATAATAAATATTCTGATATTAAATTTATTATATATTAAAATTAATTACATATTTGTATCAAAGAAATTGCTCTAGATTTTAGATTTTATTTATTATGTTTTATAATAAATAAAATCCAATATTAAATCAAAAGATTATAACAATCATAATTCAAATCCAGGTAAATATCTTTCATAATCAAAAGAAATCCAATATTAAATCAAAAGATAATAAAAATTATAACTAAAATATTTATAAATTTTCTAATATTAAATTTAGTATATATTAAAATTAATTAATTAAATATTTGTATTTAAGAAATTATTACAGATTTTAGATATATATTTTAAAGTTTTTATTTTATTAAATTAATTAAAAATTAATTATATTTTATCACTTTTTAATCAAGTGAGTGAATGATAATGAATTAACTAAAATTCTAAAATATATTTTAATTAAAAATAATTTTTTGGTAAATACGGTAACTAAAAAGTATTATAATAAATAATTAAATTAAAAAAGAATAAATTTATAATGATTATTTTTTTAATGATGTTAAATTAAATATTCTAATTATTTTATAATAAATAAAAATGAAAAGATAATAAAAATATGTTTTACCTACGGAATTTATCTACGGAATTATCCGTAGATAAGTTATCTACGGAAATTTTCGTAGAAAACTGGACATTATCTACGGAAAAAATTCCGTAGATAATATTCCGTAGAAAATTAAATATTATCTACAGAAAAAATTCCGTAGATAATATTCCGTAGATAATTAAACGTTATCTACGGAAAAATTTCCGTAGATAATATTCCGTAGATAATAACAGTTTTTCTTGTAGTGTTTGAAGAAAAAGAAGAGATAGGTTCAAGAAAACCTTAACCCTTGTGCCATCCTCATTCTTTTGGTGCCAAAGAAAGATAGCAATGGAGGATGAGCACCTTTTTTTTATTAAAAGCCATCATTGAATAAGAGGCACCTAATCCCTAAAATAGATGATTTGGTGAATGAATTGCATGAGACCAATAATTTTTATAAATAGTGATGCCTCTTTGGCTCTCTCCTTTCCCTAGCACTTTCATTCAACAAATTGTGTACTTAAGGATTGCATAGCTAAGTTTTAGTATTTTACTTCCCTAATTGTGGTTTCACATCTTTTTGAAGGATCAATGGAATGGAAGAGCTTAAAGATTTGAAGTCAAATCCTTCTCAA